AGCTACATGTACTTCACATTCCTCTAAAGCATAGAGTAACTTTGTGTTCATAATTTGCATTTGTCATTGACTAAATTGCTATATTATTGTTGAAGGTGTTGAAATGCTCATTTGGGAGGGGAACCTCTCTTAAACCCTTCCCCCAGCAACCTCAAATCCCCCTGTCGGACAGGTCAAACCCCCCCCCCCACAAAGTACTATAGTAATTACCCTGGTAGTACCATTTTTGATGTTGATTCTGGAAGGTTGGATTTTGCTCATAATATCTTGTGACAATAATTATTACTCACTGACCATTTCATCTTTATCTCACTTTCTCAGTTATTTTCCTTCATTGTTTAGACCCCTGGTATTCAACCCCCAGCCCATGGGACAACAAAATAAAATTTTGCATAGATTTTTCTCCATTTTCTAAGAAAACATTGACAGATATGGTTTACCCCAAAACTCTTGGAGTGCTACTTTGAAGAGATTTGTTAGATTTAACAAATCTAATTGGGGCCCACAGAGGGCCCCAATTTCTAACACTGTCTGTGCAAACAAGCATGCACCAATGAGCTAAATAAAATTCCCTGTCTGTTTATTGTGGAGGTGGTGGGTCATTGTATAGTATTCTTCTTTATGCTTGCAGTATCCGCAGCCATTAAATCCATTGTACTGTACCATGTTTTGTACCATAGGTCTTAACTCAACTGTACAAACCAAACAAAAGGCAATTCATTAAATCATTTTAAGAACAGGCCAGATAGAGTACTGAGAAGACTCCTATATTCAACACCATCTGTGTTTTGAGCATCCCTTCTATTTTCATTTCCCTGTACAATTGACCATCAGTAATATCAGTTACAGTATGTTCATGACCACCTGTCATTTTTCATGCTATCTTCTTTGACAAATTCCTTTCCACACTTATTGCACGTGTATACAATATCGTCACCACATTCTATGTATTCATTACAAATAGGTATTTCGATGATGGTAAGGCATTGGGAGAGTGCAAAGTAGTAAGTGTTATGAGATCTTCAAGGGCGCTTCCAGACAAGTGATGCTTCACAGCAAAAAGAAAGGACAGCTATGAGAGAATCCATCCTCGTCATGTCGCTTCCTTCACTTGAAATGGGCTGATCCCCGCCCGGCAGGTCGATACTAAGACTCGTCGGCTGAAAGATATGAGAAAATATTACTTTATTATATTATACAAAATTCCTGTCTGTGAATTGTGATTTTCTTCAGCAAATCACAATCCAAAAAATGAGACAAAGACAATTTTTCACTGCATTTTATTTAACTGTAATTTACCTCCTGAAATGCACCCTCTGCTAGATCTTCACTTCCTTCAGTCTGAGTGGATTCACCATTATCAAAATCTTCATTTGCTCGTTCTGGTACCATGAATCTCCTGTAATTAAAATAATCACAATTATCTCATCATGAACATACAGACATTTCTCCTTCATATTAACTTAGGTTTGCACTCGAGGTCGAAGATATGTTGGAATAATTGAGGCCGATTTTTTAGTCAACAAAAAAATTTGTTGTCACAACATCATAATAATATTGAGTGACTATCCATTATAAAGGATATTATATGACGCCATGTATTTTGTATTTCAGCAGGTAGGTAGGCGAGAATGGGCCCTAGTGCAAGATTAATTTCAGGGCCCTATGATGACGTTGCTGTATGTAGGCCTGCTATAATGGGGTGGGGGGTGTGTGTTGGCTGGGATCGTCAATTTCCTGCGGTGATAGGGAACCCTTGAAAGCTTTGACGTTCTGAATTTTAAGAAGCCTATATTTTTTATTCATTAAGATTAAAGATATAAAAAATCATGTTTTCAGAAAATTCATCTAGGGCCTAATAAGTCCTTCATTTTCAGTGTGGCGAATCCAGTAATACGAAAAATAGGAGCATTAGATATATTTTGCTTTAACATAAAATACAATACAATATAAAAACACAAGTAGTGAATCTGCGAGGCAGAAATATAAAAAATAAAATAAAAAAAATATAGGGGGAGGATGGCTTGCTTCTTACCTGAATCCACCACTTGTGTTACCACCACCCGTAATACAGCAATACTGTACGTCCCACTGATAATCAGAACCTTCGTATTATTTTAAAGAGGGTGGCCATGCAGTTTCGGCAGCTTTTCTAAACTACAGCAATCAAGAAAATAGGTGGAAAATATATGCAATTGCAGCGGGGTGATAATCCAGGGGGTGGTGGCTAGATCACATTAGCCTCACCAAGCATGCGGCTGAGGTGAGAAATTTATGATTATGACATTCATTTAGTATTATGATACTATTTTTTCAGATCATTTCTTTCCAGGTGTATACATCCCAACAGAAGATTAAACTTCGGTACGTTCACATCAAAAGTGTCGATCTTGCAGAAAGTAGAGCCTGCTGAGTAATTGCTTTAATGATTAGAAGAACCTACATGTTATAAAACAGAAATAAATATAGCATCTTGATTATGTACCTGTATCTAACAAATACAATGTTTTTCTTTCTTTTTATTCTAGGTTTGTGAGAAGATCTTCGTTACAAATGAACAATAGTTCGTGTTTGCCTTCTGTCGATGAATGGTTTTTGTATTTGTATTTGTTCTGCTGAGTTTGCAAAAGTATCTGATGAACAATAATAATAATATAAACCGTTATTTTTCAATTCATTTAATGTGATAACAATGAATGATTTTGCAATAAATAATTATGTGATTGAGTTTATGGTAGATTATTCCTTCCGTTAGGCAAATTATTATTTATTAGTAGAATCTTAAGATACCTTAAAAAGATAATGTATTTTGTATGAATATAAAACAAAATGACATTCAAGTATATTTAATTCAAACTGACTATATAAGTTTACTGGCTTACCCCAGTGGTTTTTTTACGATGATGGTGGTGGTGGTGATGATGACAAATGCTTTGGTATACTTAACCATGTACTTATTCCAACCTTGACGAAAGCCTACGTCAAGAGAACCAGCAGTTGCACGATGTTTGGCGCCAGATCATTATCGGCCGATGGCAGAGATGACTCCGAAACAGAGACGGCAAGATGGAGTATAACCAGAAAACAATGAACGCACATATGATGGTTCTTTCAGATGGAGAGTAAATAAATCATCTATGTCCGATAATATTCAAAGGACGTTAGAAACAGATGAAAAGAATAATAACACGTATGACATTAATAAAAATCATTAGCAATTATTAACAAATATTACGTCCATGATCTACAAAGTTACAAACTAAAGGATAAATTGAGTAAGTTTGAGACTTCCAATTACAAGAGTTTCATACGCAGTCGCGGTGACAAGATGCGCTTTCGTGGCTGGTTGGTTGGATCATGGAGGAATTAGCCTCCATGGTTGAATCAGGAGGTACTGTATCTAATTTATACCTCCATGGTTGTATACAGTACCGGCCAGTTTTATTGCAAAAATCCCAACGCGTTTTACCCGTTGTCGTTGCGTTGCGTTTGCGTTGCGTTGCGTTGAAATGAACGTTGAGAGTACATTGTTTAAGAAGAAAAAATAACCATTAGTGATGTCACAATGACAAAATCCTTCATTAGGATTGCACATTGGGCACTCCTTAGTGAAGTGCTGTATGATAAAGTTGGGCAGAGGTATTCGGCTGAAAGAGGAAGCAAATTCGTTTGCAATGTTCCATACTGCAGAGTGGACTGATCGGGTGTCTTCCTTAGCACTCAAAACCCTTAAAGAAAAGAAGTTCACTCAGAATGCCCCATGCTCCTCCTTGTGGTTGAAGTTAGCTATGCTGTGTTTGTGGCAGTTATAATAAGAGGAGGGGAAGTTACAGATGCATTTAAAATGCTAAATAGACCACAGAGCACGGAGGCTAATCAAGAAATATTCCTAAGCCTTAATGATGTAGAAAAGAAGTTGCTTACAAGGTAACTAATGATTGATAATAATCAATTTTAGCATATTTTATTTAAAATTTCATCTGGTGATAGGGCACGTATGTTAATATTCCATAATGATTACCAATAACTCGATACTTCCGGGTTACGTCACGCGTCAACAGAGGGAGTAATTAAATATAACGTCAACGAACTGCCTGACAACAGGACGCTAACTTTTTTCCTTCGCGGGGAAATCAAATTTTTCTTTATATCCTCAAAAAACATTGTTTTAGACTGAATGAATTTTCTTAAAATAAATAAGAGTACATTTGCAATTTCGAGTTTAGACATATTGGAAGTCAATAACGATTTTTATACATTTTTTAAAGTCAAGACTGTCAAATTATCAATTTTGATTTGAGTTGATGCAATTTAAATGTCTGCATGGAAAAACACAGAACGAGTGCCTGAACAATCTGATTTGGCAACGATGCCACAAGGACACGTTTGTACAGAGACGTACTCTAGAAACTGCAACATACCAAGCAGTTGCCTATTTTAATGATGGCATGAAAAGTATTTTGGACACATTTAAAGAACTCAATATTGAGCCAGGACATATTCATGACATTAGCATGTCGTGTGCGACGCGAAGAGCGAAAGTCCTCGGATAGAGTAAAGAAGAGGAGAAAACACCTCGGAGCTGTGAAAAAAGGCTGGACTGACAAAAGAATGGTGCCCATTAATATAAAATAAAATGTCTTAAAAGACGCTATAATAATGGTAAACCATTTTATATTTAATTTTAAACATTAACGCTAATTTAATAAATTGTAAAAATTTGACGCAATGTGGATTGGTTGTGACTTCATAACTAATAAACTACTTATCCAATCCCTACCAAACTTTCAGTATTTGTAGCTCTTATATAGTGCTAGTGTTAAATGAAAACTTGGTTTGTTTCAATGAAAATGTATATGTCAAAGCTACCACTGAAAATATAGGTACACCATACAATTTTAGGATTTTCCATTTAGTTGATATAACTTAAAAATGAGCTCTCTTTTTAGAGAGCTCTATAGACCTCGTTTTAGCACTCTGTCCTAACCAATGCCATGTTTCAATTGTTTCACAACATGATGAATGATCCAATGCCGCAATGTGATTCAGCGCCCCACAATTTTCCATTGTTGAGCATGTGGACCTAACCCACAAGTTTCTACAAGAGATAATGCTGATTTGCAGAAAGAAGTTGTTAATAGTTGTTCTACAAACTCAGAATCAGACCAAGTATCCTGAAATCAATGTGCCCAATTATTGTGCGGGAAATGATGGTAAGAGTGTGTACAACAAAAATCAGGCGTGCTATTTCTGCCACAAATTACAGTGCAAAATAGCACGCCATTTGAAGTTTAGCATCAATTGGCGAATCTAGAAACTTCGGGTTACAAAAACTTTGTCTCATGTCAAACTTCTACTGTAACTTGAGAACACTAGCAGATGGCAGAGGAACACTCATCGTAATGCGAAGATTCAGTCAAACAAGGTGGCAGAGGACTACTTACCATGCATCAACTGCTTGAGTTATGGCGACATGTTAGAAACTGTAAACATAGTGTTAAAACTGAAAATACTCGTTTTAACATGAGGGAAGATGAAGTTAAGTCAATACTATTGGATGATGATATTATTTTAAATTTTGGTTCTATACTTTTGCATAAGTCAGGTGGAAGTAAGATGTACTACATTTCACAAAAATGTTCTACAAACTCAGAATCAGACCAAGTATCCTGAAATCAATGTGCCCAGTTATTGTGCGGGAAATGATGGTAAGAGGGTGTACAACAAAAAACAGGCGTGCTATTTCTGCCACAAATTACAGTACAAAGTCAGTACTATTGGATGATGATATCATTTTAAATTTTGGTTCTATACTTTTGCATAAGTCAGGTGGAAGTAAGATGCACTACATTTCACAAAAAATGTGACAGCTGAGACGTCTACTAAAAGTGATGAGATAACTTGTCGAAAGGCCAAAGTTAACCTTATTGAGTGTATTGATGTATAATGTCGTCGAAGCCTCAACCATATTATGCATAAAAGAAGAAAAAATAACCATTAGTGATGTCACAATGACAAAATCCTTCATTAGGATTGCACATTGGGCACTCCTTAGTGAAGTGCTCTATGATAAAGTTGGGCAGAGGTATTCAGCCAAAAGATGACCAAATGAAAGAGGAAGCAAATTCGTTTGCAATGTTCCATACTGCAGAGTGGACTGATCGGGTGNGAGGAACACTCATCGTAATGCGAAGATTCAGTCAAACAAAGGTGGCAGAGGACTACTTACCGTGCATCAACTGCTTGAGTTATGGCGACATGTTAGAAACTGTAAACATAGTGTTAAAACTGAAAATACTCGTTTTAACATGAGGGAAGATGAAGTTAAGTCAATACTATTGGATGATGATATCATTTTAAATTTTGGTTCTATACTTTTGCATAAGTCAGGTGGAAGTAAGATGTACTATATTTCACAAAAATGTTCTACAAACTCAGAATCAGACCAAGTATCCTGAAATCAATGTGCCTAATTATTGTGCGGGAAATGATGGTAAGAGGGTGTACAACAAAAAACAGGCGTGCTATTTCTGCCACAAATTACAGTGCAAAATAGCATGCCATTTGAATTTTAGCATCAACTGGCGAATCTAGAAACTTTGTCTCATGGGAAACTTCTACCGTAACTTGAGAACACTAGCAGATGGCAGAGGAACACTCATCGTAATGCTAAGATTCAATCAAACAAAGGTGGCAGAGGACTACTTACCGTGCATCAACTTCTTGGGATTTGTAGTTAAAAGCGAGTTACGGCAACATGTTTAAGAAACTGTAAACATAGTGTTAAAACTGATAATATTCTTTTTAACATGAGGGAAGATGAAGTTAAGTCAATATTATCGGATGATGATATCATTTAAAATTTTGGTTCTATACTTTTGCATAAGTCAGGTGGAAGTAAGATGCACTACATTTCACAAAAAATTTGACAGCTGGGACGTCTACTAAAAGTGATGAGATAACTTGTCGAAAGGCCAAAGTTAACCTTATTTGAGTGTATTGATGGCACCCAATTTGATGTCGTCGTCGAACCATATTATGCATAAAAGAAGAAAAAATAACCATTAGTGGTGTCACAATGACTAAAAATCTTTCATTAGGATTGCACATTGGGCACTCCTTAGTGAAGTGCTGTATGATAAAGTTGGGCAGAGGTATTCGGCTGAAAGAGGAAGCAAATTCGTTTGCAATGTTCCATACTGCAGAGTGGACTGATCGGGTGTCTTCCTTAGCACTAAAAACCCTTAAAGAAAAGAAGTTCACTCAGAATGCCCCATGCTCCTCCTTGTGGTTGAAGTTAGCTATGCTGTGTTAGGGGAAGTTACAGATGCATTTAAAATGCTAAATAGACCACAGAGCAAGGAGGCTACTCAAGAAATATTCCTAAGCATTAATGATTTAGAAAAGAAGTTGCTTACAAGGTAACTAATGATTGATAATAATCAATTTTACCATATTTTATTTTAAATTTCCTCTGGTGATAGGGCATGTATGTTTATTCCCTAGTGATTACCGATAACTCGATACTTCTGGGTTAAGTCACGCGTCAACAGAGGGTGTAATCAAATATGACGTCAACGCACTGCCTGACAACAGGATGCTAACTTTTTTCCTTCGCGGGGAATTCAAATTTTTCTTTATATCCTCAAAAAACATTGTTTTCGTCGGTAAGACTGAATGAACTTTCTTAAAATTTGTATTTTCGTTTAATATTAATAATACATTTGCAATTTTGAGTTTTAGACATTGGAAGTCAATAACGATTTTTATCCATTTTTTGAAGTCAAGACTGTCAAATTATCAATTTTGATTTGAGAAGTCTAACCTTTTACAAGTTTAAATATTTAATTAATTAAATTAATTATAATTAAGTTTTGGAAGTTTTCTCAGCATATTCGTTAACATAATATTATTTATCATTCATCGTTAATTAACCCATTTGTGTAGTAGAATAAATTTCCATTTTTTTACATTTCAGATTGATCTTGAAGCTACTTATTGTGTGCATACCCACTTTTATATACATTAATACCACTTCACCATTAACTTCATTAACAGTATTGTTTGTTATAGTCATTTATATTCTCTGTGCAAGTTGTTCTGGTAGCCAGTAGTTTCTGACAGCACTTTATTTTTCATGGATAAACACAACACTAATTTAAATTTATTATGTTGGATTTGTGGTGCTCAGTTGAAATCATATCCCTCATGGAAAGGTGGAAAAGAACCAAGACGCTTTAAATGCTCTGAATTTTCCCCTAAAATTAAAGAATCTTTGAGAATTAATGCAGATGATGATGTTGATGGGGTTCACCCAAAATATTTTTGCTTTTCATGTATGGGAATTTTGACTTATCCCAATTCCACAAAGCCGCCACCTCCAGAATGGCTACCACATCCCCGCTCCACTCAATGTGTTACCTGTACCAAATTTGAGGACCAGAAAAAAGGGGGAAGACCCAAAAAGAGAAAACGTGGGTTAGGTGGACATTACTACCAAATTAAACATCCCCTTTCCCTAAATGTTTCTAATCACTTTGACAATTTGCATCCCCCATTTCTTTCCCCCCCCCCCAATTCCAAATTCTTTTCAATTAACTGGTCCTCTGGACAACTTCAAATGTGGTGTTTGTAAATGTATTGCTAGTTATCCTGTTGTCACATCTTGTCAACATGTTATGTGCAAAGACTGTGTTCAGCCACCATACAGTGATTCTGAAATCCAGAAATGGAGAACAGGAAGCTTGCTAGCAAACCCAGCCAACTTCAAACATGAAGCTTAAAAATGGCACATCAAAAAATTGGCCTAGAAGACATTTTTAACAGATCTTATGATAAGAGTTGTTATGGCTTTACACTTGATGAAGTAAATGAGACAACTAGAAGATATGATTTACTCTTATCTGAACATCAGAAAGAAAACTCAAAGAATAATGCATCCAAGGAAGCTCCAATAATGAAAAATGCTGAGACACAAACACTACCTAATTTATTAGAAGACAGGAGCAGCAAATTTGAAGTAATCATCAAGGACATTATCTCCATACATTAGAGGTAAAACAAAGCCAATTAGAAAACGAGCTCTAAATATCACTTAACGAGCTCTCTTTTTAGAAAGCTCTATAGACCTCGTTTTAACACTCTGTTCTAACCAATGCCATGTTTCAACTGTTTCACAACATGATGAACACACTGCTGATCTGATGTCGCAATGTGATTCAGCGCCCCACAATTTTCCATTGTTGAGCATGTGGACCCGACCCACAAGTTTCTACAAGAGATAATGCCAACTCCGATTTACAAGCTTCGTATGATAATGCTGATTTGCAGAAAGAAGTTGTTGATAGTTGTTCTACAAACTCAGAAACAGACCAAGTATCCTGAAATCAATGTGCCCAATTATTGTGCAGGAAATGATGGTAAGAGGGTGTATAACAAAAAACAGACATGCTATTTCTGCCACAAATTACAGTGCAAAATAGCACGCCATTTGAATTTTAGCATCAACTGGCGAATCTAGAAACTTCGTCTCATGGCAAACTTCTACCGTAACTTGAGAACACTAGCAGATGGCAGAGGAACACTCATCGTAATGCGAAGATTCAGTCAAACAAAGGTGGCAGAGGACTACTTACCGTGCATCAACTGCTTGAGTTATGGCGACATGTTAGAAACTGTAAACATAGTGTTAAAACTGAAAATATTCTTTTTAACATGAGGGAAGATGAAGTTAAGTCAATACTATTGGATGATATCATTTAAAATTTTGGTTCTATACTTTTGCATAAGTCAGGTGGAAGTAAGATGCACTACATTTCACAAAAAATGTGACAGCTGAGACGTCTACTAAAAGTGATGAGATAACTTGTCGAAAGGCCAAAGTTAACCTTATTTGAGTGTATTGATGGCACCCAATTTGATAATGTCGTTGAAGCCACAACCATATTATGCATAAAAGAAGAAAAAATAACCATTAGTGGTGTCACAATGACTAAAAATCCTTCATTAGGATTGCACCTTGGGCACTCCTTAGTGAAGTGCTCTATGATAAAGTTGGGCAGAGGTATTCGGCAGAAAGATGACCAATTGAAAGAGTAAGCAAATTCGTTTGCAATGCTCCATACTGCAGCTGTCTCTTATACACATCTAGATGTGTATAAGAGACAGACCATATTATGCATAAAAGAAGAAAAAATAACCATTAGTGATGTCACAATGACAAAATCCTTCATTAGGATTGCACATTGGGCACTCCTTATAGTAAAGTGCTCTATGATAAAGTTGGGCAGAGGTATTCGGCAGAAAGATGACCAAATGAAAGAGGAAGCAAATTCGTTTGCAATGTTCCATACTGCAGAGTGGACTGATCGGGTGTCTTCCTTAGCACTAAAAACCCTTAAAGAAAAGAAGTTCACTCAGAATGCCCCATGCTCCTCCTTGTGGTTGAAGTTAGCTATGCTGTGTTTGTGGCAGTTATAATAAGAGGAGGGGAAGTTACAGATGCATTTAAAATGCTAAATAGACCAGAGCAAGGAGGCTAATCAAGAAATATTCCTAAGCCTTAATGATGTAGAAAAGAAGTTGCTTACAAGGTAACTAATGATTGATAATAATCAATTTTAGCATATTTTATTTAAAATTTCATCTGGTGATAGGGCACGTATGTTAATATTCCATAGTGATTACCAATAACTCGATACTTCCGGGTTACGTCACGCGTCAACAGAGGGAGTAATCAAATATAACGTCAACGCACTGCCTGACAACAGGACGCTAAATTTTTCCTTCGCGGGGAAATCAAATTTTTCTTTATAGCCTCAAAAAACATTGTTTTCGTCGTAAAGACTGAATGAATTTTCTTAAAATAAATAGTAGTATATTTGCAATTTCGAGTTTGCCTGAACAATCTGATTTGGCAACGATGCCACAAGGACACATTTGTACAGAGACGTACTCTAGAAACTGCAACATACCAAGCAGTTGCCTATTTTAATGATGGCATGAAAAGTATTTTGGACACATTTAAAGAACTCAATATTGAGCCAGGACATTTCACAACATTAGCATGTAGCATGGGCGATATCAATCGTGTGCGACGCGAAGAGCGAAAGTTCTCGGATAGAGTAAAGAAGAGGAGAAAACACCTCGGAGCTGTAATAATGGGAAACCATTTTATATTTAATTTTAAACATTAACGCTAATTTAATAAATTGTAAAAATTTGACGCAATGTGGATTGGTTGTGACTTCATAACTAATAAACTATTTATCCAATCACTACCAAACTTTCAGTATTTGTAGCTCTTATATAGTGCTAGTGTTAAATGAAAACTTGGTTTGTTTCAATGAAAATGTATATGTCAAAGCTACCACTGAAAATATAGGTACACCATAAAATTTTAGGATTTTCCGTTTAGTTGATATAACTTTAAAATGAGCTCTCTTTTTAGAGAGCTCTATAGACCTTGTTTTAGCACTGTTCTAAACCAATGCCATGTTTCAATTGTTTCACAACATGATGAACACACTGCTGATCTAATGCCGCAATGTGATTCAGCGCCCCACAATTTTCCATTGTTGAGCATGTGGACCCGACCCACAAGTTTCTACAAGAGATAATGCCAACTCCGATTTACAAGCTTCTTATGATAATGCTGATTTGCAGAAAGAAGTTATTGATAGTTGTAATACAAACTCAGAATCAAACAAAAACAGGCGTGCTATTTCTGCCACAAATTACAGTGCAAAATAGCACGCCATTTGAATTTTAGCATCAACTGGCGAATCTAGAAACTTCGGGTTACAAAAACTTTGTCTCATGGCAAACTTCTACCGTAACTTGAGAACACTAGCAGATGGCAGAGGAACACTCATCGTAATGCGAAGATTCAGTCAAACAAAGGTGGCAGAGGACTACTTACCGTGCATCAACTGCTTGAGTTATGGCGACATGTTAGAAACTGTAAACATAGTGTTAAAACTGAAAATATTCTTTTTAACATGAGGGAAGATGAAGTTAAGTCAATACTATTGGATGATGATATCATTTTAAATTTTGGTTCTATACTTTTGCATAAGTCAGGTGGAAGTAAGATGCACTACATTTCACAAAAAATGTGACAGCTGAGACGTCTACTAAAAGTGATGAGATAACTTGTCGAAAGGCCAAAGTTAACCTTATTTGAGTGTATTGATGGCACCCAATTTGATAATGTCGTCGAAGCCACAACCATATTATGCATAAAAGAAGAAAAAATAACCATTAGTGGTGTCACAATGACTAAAAATCCTTCATTAGGATTGCACCTTGGGCACTCCTTAGTGAAGTGCTCTATGATAAAGTTGGGCAGAGGTATTCGGCAGAAAGATGACCAAATGAAAGAGGAAGCAAATTCGTTTGCAATGTTCCATACTGCAGAGTGGACTGATCGGGTGTCTTCCTTAGCACTCAAAACCCTTAAAGAAAAGAAGTTCACTCAGAATGCCCCATGCTCCTCCTTGTGGTTGAAGTTAGCTATGCTGTGTTTGTGGCAGTTATAATAAGAGGAGGGGAAGTTACAGATGCATTTAAAATGCTAAATAGACAACAGAGCACGGAGGCTAATCAAGAAATATTCCTAAGCCTTAATGATGTAGAAAAGAAGTTGCTTACAAGGTAACTAATGATTGATAATAATCAATTTTAGCATATTTTATTTAAAATTTCATCTGGTGATAGGGCACGTATGTTAATATTCCATAGTGATTACCAATAACTCGATACTTCCGGGTTACGTCACGCGTCAACAGAGGGCGTAATCAAATATAACGTCAACAACAGGACGCTAACTTTTTTCCTTCGCGGGGAAATCAAATTTTTCTTTATATCCTCAAAAAACATTGTTTTCGTCGTAAAGACTGAATGAATTTTCTTAAAATAAATAATAGTACATTTGCAATTTCGAGTTAGACATATTGGAAGTCAATAACGATTTTTATACATTTTTTAAAGTCAAGACTGTCAAATTATCAATTTTGATTTGAGTTGATGCAATTTAAATGTCTGCATGGAAAAACACAGAACAACGAGTGCCTGAACAATCTGATTTGGCAACGATGCCACAAGGACACGTTTGTACAGAGACGTACTCTAGAAACTGCAACATACCAAGCAGTTGCCTATTTTAATTGATGGCATGAAAAGTATTTTGGACACATTTAAAGAACTCAATATTGAGCCAGGACATTTCACGACATTAGCATGTAGCATGGGCGATATCAATCGTGTGTGACGCGAAGATCGAAAGTCCTCGGATAGAGTAAAGAAGAGGAGGAAACACCTCAGAGCTGTGAAAAAAGGCTGGACTGACAAAAGAATGGTGCCCATTAATATAAAATAAAATGTCTTAAAAGACGCTATAATAATGGTAAACCATTTTATATTTAATTTTAAACATTAACGCTAATTTAATAAATTGTAAAAATTTGACGCAATGTGGATTGGTTGTGACTTCATAACTAATAAACTACTTATCCAATCACTACCAAACTTTCAGTATTTGTAGCTGTTATATAGTGCTAGTGTTAAATGAAAACTTGGTTTGTTTGAATGAAAATGTATATGTCAAAGCTACCACTGAAAATATAGGTACACCATAAAATTTTAGGATTTTCCGTTTAGTTGATATAACTTAAAAATGAGCTCTCTTTTTAGAGAGCTCTATAGACCTCGTTTTAGCACTCTGTTCTAACCAATGCCATGTTTCAATTTTTTCACAACATGATGAACACACTGCTGATCTAATGCCGCAATGTGATTCAGCGCCCCACAATTTTCCATTGTTGAGCATATGGACCCGACCCACAAGTTTCTACAAGAGATAATGCTGATTTGCAGAAAGAAGTTGTTGATAGTTGTAATACAAACTCAGAATCAGACCAAGTATCCTGAAATCAATGTGCCCAATTATTGTGCGGGAAATGATGGTAAGAGGGTGTACAACAAAAAACAGGCGTGCTATTTCTGCCACAAATTACAGTGCAAAATAGCACGCCATTTGAATTTTAGCATCAACTGGCGAATCTAGAAACTTTGGGTTAAAAACTTTGTCTCATGGCAAACTTCTACCGTAACTTGAGAACACTAGCAGATGGCAGAGGAACACTCATCGTAATGCGAAGATTCAGTCAAACAAAGGTGGCAGAGGACTACTTACCGTGCATCAACTGCTTGAGTTATGGCAACATGTTAGAAACTGTAAACATAGTGTTAAAACTGATAATATTCTTTTTAACATGAGGGAAGATGAAGTTAAGTCAATACTATTGGATGATGATATCATTTTAAATTTTGGTTCTATACTTTTGCATAAGTCAGGTGGAAGTAAGATGCACTACATTTCACAAAAAATGTGACAGCTGAGACGTCTACTAAAAGTGATGAGATAACTTGTCGAAAGGCCAAAGTTAACCTTATTGAGCGTATTCTGTCTCTTATACACATCTGAGACACAAACACTACCTAATTTATTAGAAGACAGGAGCAGCAAATTTGAAGTAATCATCAAGGACATTATCTCCATACATTAGAGGTAAAACAAAGCCAATTAGAAAACGAGCTCTAAATATCACTTAACGAGCTCTCTTTTTAGAAAGCTCTATAGACCTCGTTTTAACACTCTGTTCTAACCAATGCCATGTTTCAACTGTTTCACAACATGATGAACACACTGCTGATCTAATGCCGCAATGTGATTCAGCGCCCCACAATTTTCCATTGTTGAGCATGTGGACCCGACCCACAAGTTTCTACAAGAGATAATGCCAACTCCGATTTACAAGCTTCTTATGATAATGCTGATTTGCAGAAAGAAGTTATTGATAGTTGTAATACAAACTCAGAATCAAACAAAAACAGGCGTGCTATTTCTGCCACAAATTACAGTGCAAAATAGCACGCCATTTGAATTTTAGCATCAACTGGCGAATCTAGAAACTTCGGGTTACAAAAACTTTGTCTCATGGCAAACTTCTACCGTAACTTGAGAACACTAGCAGATGGCAGAGGAACACTCATCGTAATGCGAAGATTCAGTCAAACAAAGGTGGCAGAGGACTACTTACCGTGCATCAACTGCTTCTATACTTTTGCATAAGTCAGGTGGAAGTAAGATGCACTACATTTCACAAAAAATTTGACAGCTGAGACGTCTACTAAAAGTGATGAGATAACTTGTCGAAAGGCCAAAGTTAACCTTATTTGAGTGTATTGATGGCACCCAATTTGATAATGTCATCGAAGCCACGACCATATTATGCATAAAAGAAGAGAAAATAACCATTAGTGGTGTCACAATGATTAAAAATCCTTCATAAACTGTATGATAAAGTTGGGCAGAGGTATTCGGCAGAAAGATGACCAATTGAAAGAGTAAGCAAATTCGTTTGCAATGCTCCATACTGCAGAGTGTACTGATCAGGTGTCTTCCTTAGCACTAAAAACCCTTAAAGAAAAGAAGTTCACTCAGAATGCCCCATGCTCCTCCTTGTGGTTGAAGTTAGCTATGCTGTGTTTGTGGCAGTTACTATATTTAATAAAAGAAGAGGAGGGGAAGTTGCAGATGCATTTAAAATGCTAAATAGAAAGACCACAGAGCAAGGAGGCTAATCAAGAAATATTGCTAAGCCTTAATGATGTAGAAAAGAAGTTGCTTACAAGGTAACTAATGATTGATAATAATCAATTTTACCATATTTTATTTAAAATTTCCTCTGGTGATAGGGAACCCTTGAAGGTTTTGATGTTTTGAATTTTCAGAAGCCATATCTTTAATTTTAACGAATAAAAAATATAGAGCTGTATACTGATTCATGTTTTCAGAAAATTCATCTTGGGCCTAATAAGTCCTTCATTTTCAGTGTGGCGAATCCAGTAATACGAAAAATAGGAGCATTAGATATCATATCATATTATATATTTTGCTTTAACATAAAATACAAAACAAAAACACAAGTAGTGAATCTGCGAGGCAGGATTGCCAAAATGCTGGGAAAAAAATTACAAAGATTTTAGATGGTAGGGTGTAGACCACCTCAGCCCCACTATAGTTGGAGCTGAGGTAAGGAAATAGGAAAACACTCTCAGAAAAAAAAAAAAAAAATATAGGAGGATGGCTTGCTTCTTACCTGAATCCACCACTCGTGTTACCACCACCCGTAATACAGCAATACGTCCTACTGATAATCAGAACCTTCTTATTATTTTCAAGAGGGTGGCCATGCGGTTTCGGCAGCATTTCTAAACTACAGCAATCAAGAAAATAGGTGGAAAATATATGCAATTGCAGCGGGGTGATAATCTAGGAATTAGAAATTTAGGGGGTGGCTAGATCACATTAGCCTCACCAAGCATGCGGCTGAGGTGAGAAATTTACGATTATGACATTATTAAAATTATTATTTTTAGGCTTATTGCCCTTGGACCCAGTGCTTTGCCCTGGCTGCACTGCCCGTAGCTAAAACACTGATTTAATTTCATGACCTGCGCTATTCATTAACATACAAGTACTAAAGGCTATTATAATACTATTTTTTCAGATCATTTCTTTCCAGGTGTATACAACCCAGCAGAAGATTAAACTTCGGTACGTTCACATCAAAAGTGTTGATCTTGCAGAAAGTAGAGCCTGCTGAGTAATTGCTTTAATGATTAGAAGAACCTACATGTTATAAAACAGAAATAAATATAGCTTCTTGATTATGTACCTGTATCTAACAAATACAATGTTTTTCTTTCTTTTTATTCTAGGTTTTTGAGAAGATCTTCGTTACAAATGAACAATAGTTTGTGTTTGCCTTCTGTCAATGAATGGTTTTTGTATTTTTATTTGTTCTGCTGAGTTATCGAGTCTGGGTTTTTTTTATTTTTTTACTTTTACCGCAAATATTAATAAATCGCTTTCATATAGTTAATAATTTGGATCCTAAGTCCCGCCCACAACCGCAGTGTTTTCATACAGACTGTACAAGGGATTCCAAGCAAAAGATCTTTTTCGTACCGTTTTTCTACTATGCGTTGTGTAGCATTTGGATGCAACAAAACACACTCTGATGGAGTATGTTTTCATATTTTTCCAAATGAGGAAAAATTAAGGCGAGAATGGTCCAAAAAACTAGAGCGAAGTGGAGCCCCAGCAAGTACTCGGCTTTATGTATCGACAAATTTGAAGCCAACTGCTATGAGTTGATGTGCCGATTTGGTTAAGAAATTGGGGTAGCTGGAAAATTGAACCGTCGTCTAAAAAAAACCTGATTCCGACTATTTTTCCCAAGCCTAAAGCTCCCGGAAAAGAGAACACAATCGGGTAAGTTTATTGCCTTATTATTACCTAGGCCTAGGTATCTCTTTAGGATAGTACTAGCCCAGTACTTGGTACTATTGGCTAGCGTGCGGCCGAAAAGAATCGTCGATTCGTAAACTGTCGTCTTCATCTTGCTTTGTACATTGACTAGGGCCACATTGTTTTTTTTTTTTTTGGGGGGGGTTTCTTTGTAGGCTTAGGCCTATCTCGAATGCATACACGATATTCGGTGATGCCTAGCTAGGCCTAGGTAACTAAATTTGCAAAAGCCTTGGAATTTGGCTGGACAGGCCTAGGCCAAGAGTTTACCTAGAAAATGATTACCCTTTTCTTCAGTTATGATCGATTATAAAGGGATTAGTGTTCGATTTTATATATTCTTGATAAATTTAGGCTCTATTATTTGTTTTTTTGTCCTACCAAGGGTTCTTCAAACAGTACTTGAACCCCGAACAACAATGGACAATGCAACAGCTATTCAAGATGATGATATGCCTGTCCTAAACAACTAACATTGGAGAAAGAAACTCAAGTAAGTTTTATTTTATTTCCAATCAGAACATAAATATAGTTTGGTATTATCTGTATTTATTATCTGTATGAAATAAAATTTGAGTTGCAGCAGTTGATTTTAAAATATGGTTGTCCGCAGCATAATCTGCATAGACAGGCATAATAAATAACTTTGTTAAAAAAATGTAACCGAGGTTTCATACATGTTAATTCTTATTTATTCAGCTACAACAATGGTTCGTAACAGTGCAGAACATAAAAGGCGCAATGAGAGAGGGAGAGAGGGAGGGAAACAAAAAAGAAGGATGCAGAATACAGATGAAAAGAAGTGCTATAAATGGGAGTTTATAAAAGTAATGTTTTATTTTATTTTAAAACATTGTGTTCCATGGTTCCAATTTGCCGCCAATTAAACTTAGTGTTGTAGAGTTTATAAAATTTTTTTTTTAAATTTCTAAGCATTGTGTTCCATGGTTTCAATAATAATAATAATAGTAGTAGTAATAGTAATATTAGGAATAGTAATAAAAAATAATAATAGTAATAATAATTTTGCACCATGAAACATAATGCTGTGCGATTCATCTGCTAGTGAGGAGGATCTGGTTTCTGATGAGATTACTGGAGGAGACTTTGTGCTTCTCAGATTGATTACGCTATACCGTAATAGTAGTACCGTAGTAGTAGTAGCAGTAGTACTTGTATGTACTTATACTGGTATAGATATCATTCCTGAATTATGGAGTTATAGAAATATATACATTTTTGTAAATTTTGTTCCAACTAACCCCACTCTCTCTGTTTAGTTCCTGATTGTAATCACCATTATAGAGAGCCACACATGCAGCTTTTTTATCGTTTCCCAAAAGATCCTAAAGTCAATCAACAATGGATTAAACAAATATTATGTAATTTATTCTAGGCATTAGAACTTCTTATAAAACTATATTTAACGCTTTTTGTCATGAAGGGAGCCTAGCCCAATGGTGGCCTACCGAGGCCTGGTATAGTTCATGGAGCAGGCCTAACCTAAAGATGCTGTAGCACATAGGCCTAGGCCTACAGGAATAATTTAGCAAATTTGTGTGCACCCAGCCATTAAGATGTGTCTTCACAGTTATGTTCTTGGGTAGGCAAGCCTAGACCTAGTTTACATTTACACACGTGTGTATTGTATTGACATAGTTATAGTACCTACGCATAGACAGGCCTATCCTACCTAATCGTGCCTAGTCACTACAGATCCTTTTTACCCTGTCATCATTAAAAGCAGGCCTACAATTTACTTTGTGACTTAATCTGTATTGCAAATTGATTTTATATATACAGTGTATATATGTATATATAAAATCAAATAAGCTATAATATACTTCTTTTGCATGAAATATACATTTTGATCAGTTATTCTAACTGATAGTTCTTATAAGCTAATGCTAATGCTAATGCAAGTTCTTATAAGCAAATAACCAAAATAAAAAAACAGTTGTTTTCAATCCGCTATTAAGGTCTTTTCAAAATAAAGTTTACTAAACAAGGTATAAAAACATCTTGCTTAAACGAAAAACTTCAAACTACCATAAACCCAAAGTAAGTCCACTACACACATGAACAACCACTACAGAACAAGCAACCCTACAATTACACAAAATCCCAACATTACACCAACACAGTACCATGCACCTGAATATATCCATTTGAACAAAGTACCACGCCACTGACACGCAGATATTTACAATATAATAATGTGCACCCACTTGTTTTTCTTCATCCACAGGTTCAGGCACTAAACGTAAATCCGATTTTAAATGCCTACACAATCATTGGTGTCGACGAAGATGAGCAAGTATTTCAAAAAGAACAACATTGAGAGATTACACCATTCATTCACTTTAGTTTCATACAAAATTCTTATCATTAAGAATAATACAACACACCAAAATAAATCTAAAAGAAAACAGAAATGTTCATATTTTCTTAAGACCTACTTCAATACCACATTCACATTCAAAATTGCCAAATTTCAACTTATATAGAGTTAAGGCCTAGCCCAATGGTGGCCTACTGAGGCCTGGTATAGTTCATGGAGCAGGCCTAACCTAAAGATGCTGTAGCACATAGGCCTAGGCCTACAGGAATAATTTAGCAAATTTGTGTGCACCCAGCCATTAAGATGTGTCTTCACAGTTATGTTCTTGGGTAGGCAAGCCTAGACCTAGTTTACATTTACACACGTGTGTATTGTATGGACATAGTTATAGTACCTACGCATAGACAGGCCTATCCTACCTAATCGTGCCTAGTCACTACAGATCCTTTTTACCCTGTCATAAATACATTAAAAGCAGGCCTACAATTTACTTTGTGACTTAATCTGTATTGCAAATTGATTTTATATATACAGTGTATATATGTATATATAAA